TCTGAAAACTAAAAGGGACAAGGACACTCAAGCTTGCCAGTTATCAAAAAAGTGCAAATGCATGCACCACAGTGAGATATCACTTCCCACCCATCAGACTGGGGAAAATCTAAAAAGTCTGAAGATACCAAGTGTTGACAAGGACGGGGGGAAACAGGAACTCCCATTTGCGGCTGGGGGGACAGCATGAATTGGCATAAGGACCTGGGCAAGCAGTCTGGCAAGATCCAGTGACACAAAGACAGCTCTAACTTTCAATACTACAGGAATATGTCACAAAATACATTTTGTGACATCCCCCCCCAAAATACATTTTTAAAAAGCATGGAAGGCTCATGCCTATAATCCCAGCACTTTGGGAGGCTGAGGTGGGAGAATGGCTTGAGGCCAGGAGTTGGAGACCAGCCTGGGCAACATAGCGAGACCCTGTCTCTACAGAAAAACAAAAACAAAAACATTATCCGGGCATAGTGGTGCATTCCTGTAGTCCTAGCTGCTGGGGAGGATGAGGAAGGAGGACAGCTTGATCCTCAGAGTTCAAGGCTGCAGTGAGCTATGATCAGACCACTGTACTCCAGACTAACAGAGCAAAAACCTATCTAAAAAAAAATAAAATAAAATAAATAAAATATGGAGAGGGTGAAATGCCCTTAGAAACAAATGAAATTTCTGTGTATCACGTAAAAAAAACATAACTAAAGCAAAGGTGGGGTGATAACTGATGTATAACTGAAGACCTGTAAACAAATATTGAATCTGTTAGGTTTGTTGGGTCAGCAATTCTGAAACCACTTTTTTTTGAGACAGAGTCTCACTCTGTTGCCCGGGCTAGAGTGAGTCCCGTGGCATCAGCCTAGCTCACAGCAACCTCAAACTCCTGGGCTCAAGCGATCCTCCTGCCTCAGCCTCTCAAGTAACTGGGACTACAGGCATGCACCACCATGCCCGGCTAATTTTTTTTTTCTATATATTTTTAGTTGGCCAATTTATTTCTTTTCTTTTTTTTTTTTTAGTAGAAACTGGTTCTCACACTTGCTCAGGTGGGTTTTGAACTCCTGACCTTGAGCGATCCTCCCCCGCCTCGGCCTCCCAGAGTGCTAGGATTAGGATTACAGGCGTGAGCCACTGCGCCGGCCTGAAACTACTTAATGTATTATGTGTCTTCATTTTCAAGAGTCCCTGTGAGGTCAGTACTAATATCATGCCCGTTATACTGAAGAAGAAACTGTGGCACAAAGAGGTAGTCACTTCCCCAGGCCACCCAGTTGCTAAAGCCCAGAGCCAGGGCTTGACCCCAGGCAGCCAGGCTCCAGCATCCGGGCCCTTGGGCCCTTGACCGAGATGCTGTGCTGCCTCCCGCGGCGCTGCTGTCCCCTGCTGTCTCCCACAGTGGCTAAGCGCGTGCCTGTCCTATCACGGAGGAGGCATCTGAGGCTCAGCGAGACAGACAAAGCCACTTGCCCAGCATCACACAGCTAGTGACCACCGGCAGAGCTAAGATTCAAACCCAGAGCTGCCTGAGCCCTGAGTCTCTGCCTTTGGCCACTGCAATACGCTGCTTGGGAAGGATCGGTAATCGTGGTAAGATCATTAACAGCTCTGGCAACAGCTGCTGCCGTGCTGGATGTCTTAACTGCCCCCCTGACCCATGGTCCAAGCCTCTCCACCCTGCTCTGTGCCCCAGGGGGTGACCGGTACGGACCGAATCGGCCGGCTCCCCCTACCCATTGCTGTCCAGGCGGGTTAGGCTCAACACTGGCTACGTGATTTTCAGGGCCCAGTGCAAAATGGAAACACAAGGTCCCCTGTTCAACCTTTATTAAGGATTTCAAGACTCCAACAGTAGGGCATTAAACCGAGTGTGGGCCCCTGTGCAACTGCATGCCCAAGTGCCCATGAAGCCGGCCGTGGTGGACTCACGGATGGAGGAGAGTCAGGCTGGGGTGTTAGTTCCCCAGCCCCTCCCTGCTGCAGTGCCGCGGGCTGGCCGCCATTCTTGACCAAGGGTCCCAGCTCCTGTCTGGCGACCCTCTCCTTCTCAGTTCCAAAAACCTCTCCTTCCCTGCTACCTTGCACTGGGGGTGAGGGTGGGGTGAAGGCTCCCCACTGCTAGCCCCACAGGGCCATCCTCTTCCTTGTGCCTTCCCCACGCCCCCCGCTCACACCTTAGTCTAGAAACACTCTATAGGCCAGGCGCGGTGGCTCACACCTGTAACCTTAGCACTCTTGGGAGGCCGAGGTAGGAGGATCACTTGAGGTCAGGAGTTGGAGACCAGCCTAAGCAAGAGCTCTCTACCAAAAATAGAAAAAATTAGCCGGGCATGGTGGCACATGCCTGTAGTCCCAGCTAATTGGGAGGCTAAGGCAGGAGGATCGCTTGAGCCCAGAAGTTTCAGGTGGCAGTGAATTATGATGACACCACTGCACTCTACCCAGAGTAACAGAGGAAGACCCTGTCTCAAAAAAAAAAAAAGAAAAAGAAAAAGAAAAAAAGAAAAGAAAGAAAGGAAAGGAACCAAAAATAAAGGGAAAAAGGAACACTTTATAAGCCCTTGTCAAATTTCCCTCAGTTGAGCACATCTTCTGTTTCTGGCTGGGACCCTGACAGTCAGAGGTCCCCACTTCTTGCAGGCTCACCATATTCTAGGCGCTGCGCTAAGTGGCTCTTTTCTGGGCACAACCTCCCTCGGCCCTGGGAGGCCAGCACTGAAGGGTCCCACTTCAGAGAGAAGACAGAGGCTCACAGACAGACTAAATGTAGCATTGAATGGCCACTTGGTAGCTGTGTGACCTTGTGTAGGACACAGATCCTTGCTGTGCTGTGTGGTCTTCTCGTGGGTACAATGAGGATGATGACAGCACCTCCCTTATAGGGCTGCTGGGGAGGGGAGAAGGGTTAACGGTACCTGGCACACCAGTGGTTCTCGAAGTGTGGTCTGGGGACCCCTAGGAACCCCTGAGATCTTTCCAAGGCACCTGCCAGGTTACAACTATTTTTATAAAATACTAAGATGTTATTTGCCTTTATTTCTCATTCTCTCCCAAGTACGTATGCTGCAGGGTTATTCACAGACAAGATGACCTGAGCTCACGCAACTGACCCAGCGCAGAAGCAGATGTGAGAAGCCGACTGTATTCTCTTCCAGACATGAAAGAGAGTTGCAAAAATGAGAACAATGCCAATCTCCTCACTACGTTGTTTTTTTTTTGAAACTGTAGCTATTCTTCATAAAGAATGCTACTTGAGTTAAGATGTGATGAATTTAATATTGCTGTCTTAAAGTGAATCAATAATTTAAACATGTCTCAGTTTTCATTTTTAATATAATAAATATCAATAGGTCTCATCCACACAAACAAAAGCTCTTTGAGGATCTCCATAACTTTTAAGGGTGTGAAGGGGTCCTGCAGACCAAGACATTTGAAAACTACTGGTCTATTTAAAGTAATGAGGCCTGGTGAAGTGGCTCACACTGAGGCAGGAGGATCACCTGAGGCCAGGAGTTCAAGACCAGCCTGGGCAACATAGCGAGACCCTCCATCTCTATCAAAAAAATTAAAAATAAGATTAAATAAATAAGTATAATTGTGACTTCATTGGTCATCACATTCAGATCTGTTTGTCTTTTGCGCTTTCGCTTGCCTTCCCCATCAGAACGTGAACCCCATGAAGCAGCCACTTTTCATCCATTTTGCCCACTGCTATATTCCAACACCCAGAAAAGTACCTGGTAACACAGGAGATGCCCAATAAATATTTGATGCAGAGGTAAATGAATAAATACTCATCACTATCATCATGCATTTATTATTAGTCTACTTTTCCCCCCTACTATGCCAAGCACTTTATAACCATAACTTATACAGGAGGTGTATCAAAAAGGAGGAGGAAGAGTTGAGGAAACTGGATTTGAATCCAGGCTCTGCCACTCGCTACCCTGGGCAAGTAATTTACCTCCTGGAGCTGTGGTTTCCCATCAGTCACCATGAGGCATTGTTCCTGGCACATGCAGGCAGGAGCCATTGCACCTTGGAAGGTGAAAAATAATGCCTACGTTTGCCTGCGGTCATTCCATGTGAGCTGTCATGGACTGAGCGCCAGCCGGCTCCAAGCTGGGAGCAGAGATAAAGCAGACACTGTGCCTGTTCTCTAAAACCCCCTGTTTCATAAGAGAGATGCTGGCTAGCTGTGTGTCCTTGGGCCAGGCACTTAACCCTCTGTGCCTCAGTTTCCCCATTAGTAAAATGGGCAATAATGATTCTCAATCTCCAAGCGTGGCTGGGAGGGATTAGTGGCTGCTCAGCCCAGAGATGAGTAGAGGAAGTACTCAATGAATGTCACTATATTCTATGGAAAGCCATTGCCCTACCTCTGGATCTTGGCTTCTCTATTCAGAAAATAGGCAATAGGGTCCTGCAAAACCTTCAGCATGCTGATTGCTAACATACTGCTTTGTGGCTCTAAACCCTTCTTTTTCCCTTTGTTACTCCATGCCCTAGAGCAGCGGTCCCCAACCATTTTGGCATCAGGGACCAGCTTCATGAAAGACAATTTTTCCATGGACGGAGGGCAGAGGAGGGAGGGGGAGGTAGAGCTCAGGTGGGATGCAAGCAATGGGGAGTGGCTGCAAATACAGATGAAGCTTCACTTGCTCACCTGCCACTCCCCTCCTGCTGTGCGCCCCCCTTCCCCACCAACTGGTTCCTGTTTCATGGAAGACAATTTTTCTACCACAAATGGGAGGCAGGATGGAGCTCTGTGGCTCGGTCCCTAACTGGGGGTTGGGGACCCCAGCCCTGGAGGGTGGTGGCTGTTTGCAACAGTTACTACTAGTTAGATTGCTTCAGTATTCCCTTTCTGTTCTTCCAGCCCCTCCCACACAGTTGAAATAAATCCCTACATTAAATACCCTCTCTTTGAAATACCTTGAGTGGGGTTTGACCCTGATTCAACCCCACTGCAGTGTAGGGAGCCCCCATCTGGGCCAGCCAGGTGGTACCTGCAGCTTCTTGAGTTGGCTGTTGACAGTGGCCAGGTCCCCACCAGGGTCCACATCTTGCAGCTGGCTTTCCATGTGAAGGAGCTTCTTGTCCAGCTCAGCGAAGCTCTGCACTAGCTGGTCAGCCTTGCTGGCCTCAAAGAGCTGCCGCGCCTTGGCCTGGGTGGTACTCTCCAACTCAGCCCAGCACTGCCGGATCTCACCCAACTTCTTCCTCACAGAGGCGGCCAGCTCTGGCTTCTCCTGCATCAGTTGCTGGCCCTCCTGCCCCAGGCAGGTGGATGGCAGGAAATGAGGAGGAGGGGATGGGCAGTGGGGAGGGACAGAGAAGTATGGCAGGGCAACAGGATACAAGGATAAGTGTTGGAGAGAGTCAGAGGTGGGAAGTTGGAGACACACAGGGAGACAGAGGGGTAGATGCAGAGATACACACCCAGAGATAGAAGGAACCAAGGAAAAGAGACAAAAATAGAGAGACAGACAGACATAGGTGAGAGGAAGGAGACAGGTGGAGGAAGAGAAAAGAGACACAAACAGAGACAATGGAAGGAGACAGGGAGAGACAGTCACAGAGCAATGGACACAGAGACACACACACAATCAGAAATGCATGGAGGGGACCATGAGACAGACAAGGAGAGAGACAGATAAAAGAGAGTGAGAGAGGCAGAGAGACAATGAACTTCTACTAAACTCAAAGTCAAGAAGGTTGGTTGGCTTTGCCACATGTCACTTTGTGGGCCATGAATGGCCATTTAAGGGTTTAAGGCCAACCTGGGGCTCTCTGTTTGAGTCAGAAGAGTAGGGTAGACCTCCAGGTCTGCAGGTCTAGGGGTTCAGCTAGAGTAGGGAGAAGTTCTGGGGGTGGAGACCTAGAGCAAAAAATCTGCCTGAGTCCCTCGGAAGTTAAGCTCCTTGGTGGCCCAGAGCTGCATATATTATATTACATTGAAAAGTAACAATATCATAATCATTACAGCTCTTAGGTGCTTGGCCTTGTGTTAAGCACTTTATGTGCACAAGAGCCAGGGAAGTGGTTACATTTATTATTTAATTAATTTTAGAGAAGAGCAAACTCAAGCTCAAAGAGGTTAACACAATTCCCCAAGGCCCATAGACTGTAACAGGCGCAGATACAATTAGAACCCAGGGCTGTAAGAATCTAAAGTTTACTTTAACCTTGGGCTTCCTGGGGCTGTCTCAGCGCATCTCCCTGACCTTCCATCTTAGGTGCTCCAAAGGGTATAGAAGGTAGCCTGGTAGGACCTTATAGGAAGGAGTGAAATGTTTAACAAACAGGAGGATATAGGCACCGTTCAGACAAGATGTTGGCCATTTTACAGGTGGGCAAACTGAGGCTCCATGAGGTTACACGAACTGCTAGGAACAGATATGGAGCTGATTTGAACCAGTTCAGGGGGGCGAGAGCAGCAGGATGGTGGCGGAGGGTGCAGAAGATGAGTCGTGGGCTCCCTAGTGGCCTCCGACACCTGGCACGGGCAGAGGGGCCTTCTGCGTCCTCACCCTCTCGATCTTCTCCAGCCACTCCTTATTCTGAGCCAGTTCGGCCATGAACGCCTGGTGCCGGAGCCATCTCTTATGCAGCTTGTGGCTGTCTTCCCGCGTGCCATCCCGCGCCATCAGCATCTTCTCGTGAATCCAGCCATCCAGCTGTGCAGGACAGGGTAGGAGGGCTCAGATGGTCATCACAACCTGGCACAGCCCCCATCCCCTCCAGAAGGTCCCAGGTTCAAAGCCTGGGCTGCCAGGGTTGAGGGGAGGAGGAAGGGATGGAAAAACCTTTATGTTGGGGGGAACAGCACAAGCTCTTTCCTGGGTAGAAAATGGATGGGAGGGTCCCCCGAAGGCACAATCCTTTGTCTCCCCTGTCCTGAAGGCAGCCTTCTCAACTCCCTTCAACCTCCTTGCAGGCAAGGCTCCTGGGGCCAGTCAGCCTCCTCCCTGCTGGGGCCAAATTACTGCCCCCTCAAAATAAGCTTTCTGACCTCATGTAGCTAACTCCCAATTCATCCCCGGCCTCCCCCCCATAGCAACACTTAGACCCTTTGATTCAGGCTCAACCGCTCCCAATAAGGACCAATGCAAGATCCTCAACCATCCCTCAGGGAATCAAACGAAGCCCCCACATCTATCCCCAGCCCCCCAATATGGCCAGATCACCCCCCAAACAACCTCTCAACTAGTGCCAAGTCTAACTCCCTCCAAACCAGCCACTCCAGTGTGGAGTAGGCTCATCCTCTACAACTAAGATCCAGTACCCCAATAAGCCCACAAGGCTCCCCAAATCCAGCCCCGGGGCTCCAAGACCACAATTCCCCCAAAGCATGCTCAGTTGGAGCCTGAAATCCAAGCCAACCCCCAAATTCAGGCAACAAGGCTGCCTTCTGGCTCCCCAAACCCGTCTACCCAAAAATCTAGACCCAGACTCCCCAAGGTGGATCACATCAAACCTCTCAACCCAGTCAGCCCCCTCCCCAAGCCAGTCCTAGTCCTCCCACCCAGGAATAAAACCAGCCATCCAAAATGCCAGCACCAAGAGTGGGCCCCTCTCACTGTCCTGGGCAGGACCAATCACAAGGCTGCTTTCTGAGCCTCCCCCCATACAAACCCGGCCTCTGAAAAAAAAAAAAAAAAAAAACCAAAAAAAACAAGACTTGTCCCCAAGCTAGAACCTCCCCACTCATGACCAAACCTGGCACCTGGGACAGTTTGCTCCTCCCCCGTCTCCTCCCCCCTTCCAGTCACAAGATCCTCCTCCTCCCTCCTGCAAAAAAGGAAAAAAAAAAAAAAAAATACCGGACTCCAGCTATTGCCTCCGCGGTCCCCGGAGGCGATTGCAGTCCTACTCAAGGACAAATCCCAAGCCGGCCAAACCCCACCCCACACCCCCTGAGCATTTGCTCCCCAGGGGTCCAGGCGAGCTTCACACTCCCCCACGCACACACGCACCACACCGGAACCCAGCAGAACGCTGAAACCCCCAACTCAGTTCGCAGCTTCCCGAGTCCACCGGCAACCGCAGCCCTCAGTGAGGGCAAAGCCCCTAAAGGAGGTGGTACCCCGTTCTCAAGGTAAAGCCCCCTCCAAAGTGATTCCCTCCGTCTCTGAGGGTAGAGCCAGACTCCCCAACAACCAAGGAAAAGCCCCCCAAAGTCAGAGTCCTCCAGACGCAGAGCAAATCCGAGATGCTCATCGCCCAAGGTACAGCCCTCGGGAAAGTGATTCGCCTCCATCACCCAAGACTGACAGATCTCCCAGGGACCAAGGAAGGACCCCCCAAAAGGCTGAGACTCCCCCAACCCCAGGGCAAACCTCAGATTCCCCGTTACCCAGAGAAGAGCCCCCTAGAGAGGGTGAGGCGCCCTTAACCCCATGGCAAATTTAGACTACCCTAGGAGTAGTCTCAGAAGTCCCCCTCTTCGCGTCCCTCCCCTGGGGGCCGGCCCCAGTCCCGCCCGCGCCAGCACCGCGGACAGCTCCCGGCGCCCTCGCCCCTCCCCCAGGGCGGGGGTCCCGGCGCCAGCCCGGCCCGCCCCCGACCGCCCCGCCCCCTCCTCCCGCGCCCGCCGGCCGAGCACGCGCCCGAGCCCCTTCCCCGCCCGTCTCGGCGGGGCGCGCGCCAGCCCCTCCCTGGGCGCCCCCGGGACCTGAAGCGGCGTTGGCGTCGGCGTCGGCGGGGCGTCCCTGCGGCGGGCGGGCGGGCGCTCGCCCCTCCACTGCGACGGCGGCGGCGGCAGCGGCGGCGACGGCTGAGGTTCTGGCGGCCGCGCGCCCCCTTCCTCGCCCCCGCGCCGCGGCCGCGCGCCCGCCCGCGCGCGCCCCCTGCCTGCCTCCCTGTCCGCCTCCTTGCGGGCCGGGCGGAGGGTGGGAGGGAATCACTACCCGCCCTGAAGCCCCGGGTGGCGGGGCTTCTGCGCCATCCCAGATGATTGCTACCTGCCCCAGAGCAGTCTCGAAGGGGGGGCTCCGGGACCAAATCTAATGGCGACAAGGGGGGTGCCCGAGGCCTGGGCTACCTCAGCTCTGTGCGGACGGGGAGTATGGGCAGGGGCACTGGAGGGGCCTCCAGAACCATCTCTAATGGGAAGAGGCTGGGGCTCCTGGCTACCAGATGGGGTAGAGGATATGGGAGTGGGAGCTGAAACATCTCTTACAATACTTCAGAACAATTCCCAGTGCGGGTGAGGGGCAATGGGGGTTCCTGGACCCACCTCTAACGGCTTGAGTCCCGGCCCACTCAGTTATGGGGGGGTGCATGGAGGCCCTTGTGTTTCATATGTGGGGGACCGATCTCCCATGGGATTCAACATGGACAGGGTCAAACCATCTTTTAATTGGGGGTAGGGGGGTCAGGGGACCTGGTTCCTGACTTGCCTTTGGTTGAAGGAAATTAGGTATGGGGTCATCACGGGGGGAGGGGGTGATCCTGGGGGCCACAGATGTTGGAGCTTGGGGCCAGGACTATCTCTGTCTGGGGTTAGGAAATGTTTACTGGGCCATCCCTAATGTGGCCAGAGTCCAAAACAGTTTCTATGGAATGCAGGGAAAGGAGGGGGCCTTGGCGAGTCTCCTGAACTGCCTCTAATAAGGAAGGGGGCTGGGACCATCTCTGATTTGGGGAGATCCGTGTGTGTAGCTAATCCCCGAGGGAGAGGGGCTTGACTCCTGGGCACCTTTACAGGGGCAAAGCCTTGGTTGGGAGCGCTCTGGGCCACGCACGTTCCCCGCTCCTGGAGTAGAGCGGTTCTCACAAATCTCCAAAGGGAAAGGTGAGCTCAGCGCGCGTCCCCGCGGGACCCGTAGGCGCGGACGCGCGCCGCCGTTGCCAGTAGCGCCCGGGGCCCTCCCTCCCCAGAGCCGGCGTGGGCGGGCAGCGACTTGCGGAGCATGCGCACTGAGACCAGGCGCCGCGCGCCTCCTGGCGGCGCAGAGCGAGCATCGCTCCCCGACCCACTTAGACGGGGCGTCCCCGCCCCCACCTCTGCCAGGGAGCGCTTCCCTACCTATGGAAGTGGGCGTCGCCGTCCCCAGCACAGCTGGAGGTCCTACCTCGTGGCAGTCTCGGAGGAAGTGCTGCAGCTCAAGTTGGTCGTGTAGTTTCTGCATCCACTGCTGGGCCCGTAACTGGTTTTCCTGGCTCCTGGGGATGGGGAAATAAGGGCTGGGCAGAGGTCCAGGGAGGGGAGAGCTGGGGGGAAGAGGGGAGGGCACCCCTGGCAGTATGACGGTGAGGGCATCGGGCTGGTAGGGGAAGGGAAGCCCGGGGTTCAAGGAAGAGCAAGAGGAAGAGACACCAAGGTAGGAATCGGGGGAGAGGCGGTCTGGGAAAGGCAGAGAATCATCAGTGGGGCAGAGGCAGGGACAGGGCTGGAGAGAGGCACGGAGAGAAACAGACACAGGAAGGATGGGAGAGAGAGAGACAGAAAGAGATAAAGACCTAGAGAGAAAGGTAAACAGATGCATACACACGGACACAGGACCAGAGACAAAGAGATAAACAGAGACCTCAGGAGGGAATGACTGACAGACCAGGAAAGAGAGAGAACGAGGAGAGACAAGGAAGAGATGGAGTGGAGGTGGAGCCAGGGAGGACAGAAAGAGAACCAGAACCGGAGAGCAGCAAAGGACAGAGGAGGAGGCAGAGGGAGGGAAAGTGACGGAGGGAGTCAAGGCAGGGGCAGCCCAGAGAGGGACAAGCAGAGACGTGGCAAGATGCCACCAGGAAAAGACACAGCCTGACAGACAGACAGAGGAGGGCACAGCGTTCGAGAGGAAAGAGTGCAGGGCGTGGAGAGAGATGGCACTGGAACTAGAGGGAGGCTGGAGCGGGTGGGTGTTCTGGCAGGGAGAGCCAGGCCCTTGGCCAGAGTGAACTGGCCAGGCCGGACCCAGGCCCCGCCACCCCGGAGCCGGTTGGGACCACAGCCCCAGGCAGCCTGGCCACCTGCCCGCAGTGCAGGGCCAAGTGCCCAAGAGGCCTGGTGGAGGCATCCCACACTGGCTTCCATGTGGGCCTGTCACTGTCAGTCTCCCCTAGGAAGACAGAGAATGAGACTCTCCTCCCAAGGTCTCCCTCAGAGTCTTTTATGACCTCCAGGTCCTACGCACGACCCCATGCCCCTACCTTTCCAAACTCTCCTCCTCCTCCCACTCTTACCCTGCAACTCTGCGACAACCATATGGCCTCCTTGCTGTGCCTTTAACAAGCTTCAGGGCCTTGGCACTGTCTGTTCCCTCTGCCCGGAATGTTCTTTCCCCAGCATCTACTCAAAGGCCACCTTCCTCCTGAAGTCCCTCCTGAACACCCCCCAATACTCTCTGGCTGTCTTCCTTCTCCAATCTTCTCCTTAGCACTTAACATGACCTAACACATTATATATGTTACTTATGTATCGTGTCTGTCTCCCACACTAGGACGTCATTTCCATGAGGGCAGGGAATTTGTGTCTGTTTTGTTCGTAGCTCTATCCCCAATGCCTAGGAAAAGGGCTTAGCACACAGTAGGTGCTCAATAAACTTTTGCTAAATGAATGAATGCAAGAGAGACATAGACATAGAGAGAAAAAGACACGGGAGAAACAAAGAGGCAGAAGAAAAAACAGGGTTAGCAAGATGCAGATGGAAGGAGGAAAAAAACCAGAGAAAGAGAGAGAGAGCAGGAAACAGAAACACAGAAATGGATGGAAGAAAACAGAGTGTGTGGGAGACTGTTTCAGAGAGCGCCAGAGAAGACAGGAAGGGCCTGAGACAAGCCAGCGAAGCACTGCCTGCCTCCTGCCGGACTTGGGCTCCAGAGCCAGGAAATAGGAAATGCCTCTGAAATTGAGCTGAAATCAATCCATCCCAGGCCTTCACCACCAGCCAAACTGTCAAGCGTCAGTCCCCAGGAATGAGGAAAATCCCTGTCTCCATGAGGGTGAGAAAACAACAGGGTTCAAATCCCAACTGTGCCACTTCCTGGCTGTGACCTGGGGCCAAGTCAGTTCCCTTCTGTGAGCCTCATGTGCACAATGCGGGTAAGAGCAGCACCTCACATGCAAGTTCCAGGTGAGGTTCCGGGCACGGAGAGACTAAGTGACTTGTCCTGAATCGCACAGGCTGAGTGGTGGCGGGTGGCCCTGGGACCTGGCCCTGTTTGATGGCAGAGCCCCAGCCCCCAGCCCTGCGTGGTTCTGGCCCCCTCGTGGGTGCAGAAAGCCTTCCCAGCCCTCCCATACGGTGGGAAATGTCTCTCCAGACAAGTAAATGACTGTGATGGTGGGGATGGGGTGCAGGGATTGGTCCTTCTCAGTCCCGGCTGTGTCCCAGCCTCAGCCAGCACAAGCCGGGGTCACAGGTCTCCTCTGGCCTCCCACAGCCCCCTGCATTTCTCCCATCCAGGCCCTGGCCCCTCTGCCTGGGCTCCCTCCATCCCCGCCCTGCCCACTACAGGCCATTATTATCAGATAATGCGCAACTGCAGTGAAGTAGGAATCGGGTTCTGTCCTGGTCACCACTGTGTACCAAGGGTTGCCCCACACAGGGCCTGGAACAGAGCGTGGGCTCAGTGCATGTTTAATTGAAGAATAAGTGAATAAACAATAGGATGAAAGGCATAATTAATGTATGAATGAAAAAGAAGGAATAAATAGATCATGGAATGAACAGTCTCCTGGGCTCATTCTGCATAGCCTGGTATGCAGCAGGTGCTCAAGCAATGTGGGCCAAAGGAAGGAAGGGTCCAGGCCTGCAGAGGGGACCCTAGATGATGAGCTTGCATCCTCAGGGACCAGAATTCCCATAAAGGTTTCCTTTAGAAACCTCCAGCCTTGTCCCCGAGCCCTGAAAGAAAAGGTGCCGAGGTCTCGGGGCTGTGTCTGGTGAAGTGAACCAGGTCTAAGACGGAAGGAGAGGTGCTGGGCCCTCTTGCAGCCTGGATCATGTCAGAGAGAGCCAGAGGGCCAGAGAGGAGGCAGCTGGGGTCACCAGGAGGGCCACAGCGACACTGACTGACAGAACGAGCTGGGAAAGGACTCTCCATGAGAGCTGGGATTTTTGTTTCTGTTTTGGAGGGGCGTGGGGCTGTTTTGTTCAGGGCCCAGAATAGTGCCTGGCACACAGTAGATGCCCAATAAATGTCTTCACTTGATTAGTGCAAGGACAGATGAGAGGACAGTGACAGAAGAAGAAGGATAAGGCCCTTCCTTACCCTCAAGAGAAATATGAGACACACACACACACAAACTCTCAGGGTGTTTCTCAGAGAACTGGGTGGCTGGGGCCAGGCGGAGGTGCTTATTCAAAACACGTGACAACCAGGCCAGGCACAGTGGCTCATGCCTGTAATCCTAGCACTCTGGGAGGCCGAGGCGGGCGGATTGCTCAAGGTCAGGAGTTCAAAACCAGCCGAGCAAGAGCGAGACCCGTCTCTACTATAAATAGAAAGAAATTAATGGGCAACTAATATAAATAGAAAAAATAGCGGCATGGTGGCGCATGCTGTAGTCCCAGCTACTGGGAGCTGAGGAGCAGGATGGCTTGAGCCCAGGAGTTTGAGGTTGCTGTGAGCCAGGATGACGTCACGGCACTCACTCTAGCCTGGGTAACAAAGTGAGACTCTGTCTCAAAAAAAATAAAATAGGCCGGGCGCGGTGGCTCACGCCTGTAATCCTAGCTCTCTGGAGGCGAGGTGGCGGATTGCTCGAGTCAGGAGTTCGAAACCAGCCTGAGCAAGAGCGAGACCCCATCTCTACTATAAATAGAAAGAAATTAATTGGCCAACTAATATATACAAAAAATTAGCCGGGCATGGTGGCACATGCCTGTAGTCCCAGCTACTTGGGAGGCTGAGGCAGGAGGATTGCTTGAGCCAGGAGTTTGAGGTTGCTGTGAGCTAGGTTGACGCCACGGCACTCACTCTAGCCTGGGCAACAAAGCGAGACTCTGTCTCAAAAAAAATAAAATAAAATAAAATAAAATAAAATAAAATAACAAAATAAAACAAAACATGTGACAACCAGCGTGGCAGGGGACACTGTCCCATCTGGAAAGCTGGAACACAACCTGTGCCTGGCCCCTAGCAGCTGATCTGGGGAGGTCTGGGGGTTCCCAGGGAAGGTCTAGAACAGCAGGGCAGATGCTGGGACATTAGGGAAATACATTAACATTTTAACAGCTCAGGCTATCCTATGCTGAGGGCAGGCTTGGAAGGGAAACTTCATTGTATATCTGTCTGTATCTTTTTGATTTACAACCTTGTGTTACCTTTTCACAAAATATCCATTTAAATCAAATCTAAAACAACATGGGATTAAATAGAAATCAGAAATCGTCACGGAAAGGAGCGGGACCCTGGCCTCCTGCACCCCTCCCCTGTGCCAAGGGCCCACCCCCTGCGCCCTGGAGCCTGGGGGACCTACTTCTCCAGCAGCCGGGTCACGGCCTCCTGGGCCTGCTCCCCGTAGACATTGCCCTGCCTCAGCAGGCCCTCCGCAGCCTGCACGGCCACCTGCATCTTTTGCTGGTTCAGCTCCATCGTGGTGAGAAAATCCCGGTGCCGTTTCAGCGCCTCTTCCACCGACTCCACTGTGCTTGGCAGCTCCGCACTCGACAGCGCCATCTCCTGGGAAGGCGGAGGGATGGCACAAAGGTCAGCCTCCCTCCATTCCAGGACCCGGGAGAGGCCACCCGCCAGCCCAGCTTGCCACACTCTCCTCCCCCGAGCTGGCATCGAACATTCTAGGCATGGTCCTGCCTCAGGGCCTTTGCCTGTGCTGGTCCCTCTGCCTGGCAGCCTGTTCCCTCCAGATACCCCCTCAACTGGCTCCTTCACTTTCTTCAGGTCTCTGACCACGCTGCCAAAAATACCAACTCCCACCCCTGCCATTTCCCTTACCTTGCCAAATTATTTCTCGTATATATAACGTACATGTAATACCTGACAATATTATATATGCATTACTTGTATCTTCACATAATAGCACATTTAATCATCTCATGATTCAGGGGCTGTCTGTCTGTCCTCCCACCCTGGTAATCCCCAAATCAGTCAGCATCCCCTAGATCAGCGGTCCCCAACCTTTTTGGCACCAGGGACTGATTTCATGGAAGATGATTTTTCCACGGATGGTGGGGGAAGGGGAGAAGAGCTCAGGTGGTGATGTGGGGAGAGGCTGTACATGCAGGTGAAGTTTTAGCTCGCTCCGTCCCCACACATCTCCTGCTGTGTGCGCCCCCCACCACGGTGGGGGGGGGTGACACATTCCTAGAGGGGTTGGGGACCAAATCCCTAGATAACCAGCACAGGTGGTCATCTTTTCTGTTATGATCCCCAAATGTTGACACACACTCTTGGACAATCTAAAAACTGGGTGTTCCATCTTGCCCAAATCCTCAAACTCGGTTCCTATTTCAGAAAGATCTCCAAACTGGATCTCCTGTCCCTAGAGAACCATTGCATTTGGTTCCTCGAGCCACAAACACAATTACCCTCTCCAGAGAATCCACCAGTTGTTATCCCCAATAATGAAGATAATTTGCTAATTTAGGCACTCACAACCACAAACACCAACCATCCTTACTGACCTAAAAAACCTCTCAGCCTGTTCTCTACCTCCACAATATTAATCCTTTGTTATCCGCCCCAAGATCTTGTTTGAACACCATAGAACCATCACTAAGCAACGTCATACTCTTCTTTCCTTCCAGAAAATCCACAAACCCAGGAAGCCACTCCAATAAATACCCAAGTGCATTACTTACTCGGGATAGTCCACAAACTGTTTGTCACCTCCGATAAAACACCAACCCACTTCACCCATCATTCTACATACTCACATTGGAGGAACCACAAACTCAGTTATTCATTCCGGATACCCTTCCAACTCCTGCCACCTAGTCACGAACTCAGTGGTCCCCGCAAACACGCCCCCCCCACTGCCTTGTTCCCCCCCCCCCCCCCCCCCCGTGGCCTCGAACCCCCGCCCCCTACACACACACACCGCACACCCGAGGCGGGCACCTGGTTATGCAGCACAGCGAGTGCCTGGCGTAGGTCGCGCAGGAAGAGCTGGTAGATGTGGGCCTGGACCAGCGCCTCCCTGCGCGCCTCCCACAAGCCGAGCAGTTTGTGCCAGCCGAGCTCGAGGTGGGGCAGCCACTCGTCCAGCGCCAGGCCCGGGCCTAGGTCTGCGCCGTCGTTCGCCAGCAGCGCCTCGCTGGCCGCCACGATGCGCGCATAGTCCTCCTCGCGCTGGTCCACCTCTTCCTTGAGCGCAGCGTGGCGCGCCAGCAGCGCGTCCGCCTCCTCTAGGCTGTTGGGCAGGGGCCCCTCGCTGCCACCCGCCGCCTCCTGGGCACGCACGAGCCAGTCCAGGAAAGCGTCCAGGTCATGCAAGAAGCGCTGCAGGCGCCCAGCGGCCGCCACCGCCTCACCGCAGGCCTGAGCCGAGCTGGCTAGCGTGCCCCACTCGGCGCCCAGCTGCTCTGCGCCCTGGTGCAGCCGCGCCGCCTGCGTCGGGAAGCGCGCAGCCAGCAGGGCCGCCTCCTCCAGAAGGGCCGCCTGGCGTGGCTCGAGCGCTTGCAGAGCGGCCTCTAGGCCGCTAAGGCGCCACTGCAGGGCGCCGCCGGCGCGGGGTGCGCTCTCCACCGCTCGCCGCTTCTCGCGCACCTGGGTGCGCACCTCGGCCACCTCCAGCACGTGGTTCTCCACCAGCAGCACCGCGCTCACTTCCTCTTTGCGCTGTTCCACCAGCTCCACGATGCGGTTCCACCTGCGCAGGAGAGAGAGGGCGACTTGAGGAGGATAGGGACTCGTCTTGGGCCGTGGAGGGTCCACCGACCCAGGGGAGAATCCCGGCCCTGGCCACCCAGAGTGTGACCTTGAAAAGTCCCTTTATCTCACCGAGCCCCAGTCTGCCTGTGTAAAATGGAACTCCGCCCGCCCGGCATATTCCACATTCGCTTACAGCAGCGGTTCTCAGTGTGTAATCCGAGCCAGGTCAAAACTATCTTCACAATAATGCAAAGATCCAGAAGCCGCATGACAGAGACTGAATGCAGAAGCCGATTTAAGAGCCCGACTGTCTTCTCTTAAGCCAGACATTAAAGAGATTTGCAAAAGTGCAAAAACCAATACCACTCTTCTCCCACTACGTTTTTTGTTTTGGGAGAAAAAAGTTATTTCTCATAAAAATGTGTTGGTTATGTTAACATATAATGGGGTTGGGGTTTTTAAATTTTATTTATTCATTTAGTTTTCAGACACAGAGTCTCAATCAATATGTTGCCCAGGGTAGAGTGCCATGGCGCCATCAGCACATGTCTCCTATATAAATAAATAAACAAGCAAATAAAGTAAAATTACCCCCAACCTCTCGCCATGCTCTCCTAAATCACTCTATTTCTTGCATAAAGCCTTACAACTTGCTACATATCTTGGTTTTTGTTTGCTGTTTTTTTTTTTTGAGACAGTCTCACTCTATTGCCCAGGCTAGAGTGAGTGCCGTGGTGTCAACCCAACTCACAGCAACCTCAAACTCTTGGTCTCAGGCAATCCTCCTGCCTCAGACTCCCAAGTAGCTGGGTCTACAGGCATGCGCCACCGTGCCCGTCTAATTTTTTTCTATATATTTTTAGTTGGGTGATTAATTTCTTTGTATTTTTAGTAGAGATGAGGTCTCACTGTTGCTCAGGCTGGTTTCGAACTCCTGACCTTGGGCGATCCTCCCACCTCAGCCTCCCAGAGTGCTAGAATTACGGGTATGAGCCACCACACCCGGCCTAATATCTTGTTCTTTATTAGTTTATTTAACTGTTTCTCTGCCCCCTCTCCGATGGACACACCACAAGGGCAGAGATTGGGACTCTGAAATCAGTAAAACCCCAGTTCACTTGTGCTCTGGCCAGATTTGCCTTGTGGCCTTGGGCAGAAAATGTCCTTATCTGATCCTCAGTTCTCTTACCTGCTGTTGAGGTGGTCCTGGCAGGAGCGCACCTCGTCTGAGCTGGGGTGGCCTCCTTCCACCAGCTCCTGCACTGTGTGGTTCACATCCAGAACGCGGCCCATCAGACTGTTCATCTCCTGGTCCAGGCTCTCGAATCTACGGAAGGAGGACAAAGGTGCTCAAAGACCTGGCCCGTGGGGACCTTGGATTTTATGAAACTGCCATCTCCTGGTTTTTCCCCTAACTTCTCAGGGGCCTTTGCTGCTGCTCCTCTTCTACCTGCCGCTTAAATGTTAGATTCCTCAGCAATCTGTCCTGGGCCCGATGGGCTTGCCCTCACTCCCTCTCTGGGCCAGGCCTGGCCACCCCTTGAACTCCACACATTCGTCACCAGCCTCAACCTCTTTCTTTTGGAACCTGTCTCCAACCTCAAAGCCTGCTGTATACCTCTTTAGGCTCCTCATACCCACTCTGACTCAGATCGTTCTCAGCATTTCACCTCAAATTTGTTTTTCCTCTGGGTCCCCTCTCAGGGACAGCCCCACCATCCCCACCCACCAGCCCCCATGACCTGTCCCCTTGGCCTCCTGCCCTGGTCCAGTCCTGTCCCCTTCCACCTGGGACCTCCCTCCAGCCACCTCTCTGGGCTCTCAGCTACCCTTTCCTCCACTCCATTGCACCCTCCACCTGGTAGCCAGGGAGATCTATTTTGAGCTGGGCATGGTCCTCCCTCGTTTAAAACACTTGGGTGAGGAGCAGCCCTGTGTTTCCATCAATGCCCAGCACAAGCCCTAGAATGGAGCAGTAACTACCTGTTGAATGAATGAATGAATGAATGAATGAACAAGATGGGGGGGCGCAGAGGGAAAATACACATTGTTCACCCACTAATTGAACAACTCATCGCTAAGTCAGCCAACAGACAAATCTGTATGTAATAAGGCACAGGGGGATAAGTGCTCTGAATAAATGTAAAGCAGGATGAAGGAAAAGAAGGTGACAAGGGCCAGAGCTATTTTATTAGCTAGGGAGGTGACTTTTGTGCAGGGGCAGTGGGGGTCCCAGGGGAGGAGCTTAAGTCGTTAATTTCATGCCATTTAAATGTCAGCCTCCGTGGTAATAGCAAATGCTCTTGGAATGCTCCCTGGATCGTCAGGCGTTTGCTAAGTGTCCTGCATGTATTAACTCATGTACTATTCCCGACAAGCCCCGGTACAGGCTCTTTTACAGATGAGCAAACTGAGGTTCAGAGAGGTTGGGCGAGTTGCAAAACAATCATAGAAGTGGTTAAGGATGAATCAGGGATTGGAATCCCTAGTTCTATCTGCGCTAACATGGGAACTTGTTGCACCAACGAAGGCGAGACTAGGCGCAAGAGGAAGGGGACCCAGTAGTCTCCCAAGCGCGCGCTCACCGATGCTGCACCACCTCGACGTCGTCCAGCGAATCGGGCACGCGCATGGAGAGCAACCATTGCTCTTTCTCCCCGATCCACAGCTCGCACGCGTGCACCTCGCCGAACATGCGGTATACAGCGAGCGCGTCCCGCAGCCACTGGCGTCGCAGGGCGGCCACCTCAGTCACCTCGGCGAACAACTGCTCAGCCTCCACCACGCGCACCTGCAGCGCCACCACCAGCGGCCCGGTGCCGCTGGCACCCCCCAGTGTCGCCAGCTGGCGCCGCAGGCTGCCCACCGGGCCGCGATGGGCCTCCACCTCCCCCGTGAGCGCTCGGTGCTGGCGAGCCAGGCGGCGGCTGGACGCTTCGTCGTGGCCGAAGTCGCCGGCGGCTGCCAGGCGATAAGCGTCGCGAAGCCAGTCCAGGAGCCCGTCGAGGTCAGCGCCAAACTGGTGCAGCGCCCGCGCCTCCTGCAGCCGCCGCTCGCGCCGCACCGCCGCCTCTTCCAGCCGCTGCCAGCGGCGCCGGGCGCTCGACACGCGCTCCGCCAGGCCCGCCAGGTGCACCGTGTCTGCGCCCAGGCCCGCGGCGCCGCCCGCCGCAGCCAGCTCCTCGCCGCGCCGCAGGGCCTGCTGCAGCAGCGCCCGCCGCCCGCCCAGCTCGCCCTGCAGGATCTTGTGCTGCGCCAGTAGGCGCGCGGTGCTGGACAGGTCGTGAGCGCCACCCGCCGCGCCCGCCGCGCCGCCGCCGCCGCCCGCGGCCTCCAGGAGGCGCTCCTTGTCGCGCGCCCAGCTCTCGGCCTCCTCCAGCTCCTGCAGCAGCGCCCACAGGCTCCGCGAGGCCTCCAGCTCCGCGCGCCGCCGCGCCGCCTGCTCCTGCAGCTCCGCCAGACAGCCGTGCACGTGGTTCACCCGGTTGCAGATGACCTGCGGGTCGCAGGGCTGGTAGCCTGGGCCAGCAGAAGGGGAGGATCCCGGGTTGGGCATGGGCCAGGGAGCACCCAAGAGAGGGTGACGCAGGCTACTCAACCCGTCCCTGTCTTGACTTCCTCAGGTACAAAGTCACGAGTCCCCTCCTCCAGGCAGCCTTCCCTGACACCCCAAGGCTGGAGCAGGCGCCTCCTCTGCCTCCCCCATCCCAGCCCTGAGCACTCTGAGCTGTCACTGCCTGTTCTGTCTCCTCCCCTGGACTGGGAACTCACTGAGGGCAGACCCCGGGGCTGTGTCTAAGAACCGGGCCAAAGGAAAGTTCTAGGCTCTTAGGCCGAGTTTCGTCCCAGGGATGACCTGAACTCCCCTTCTTCCTCAAATATTTCACTTTCCTCCTGGATCTCTAGTTTGCGGCTAGAGAACTGTGAAATTAGCTTAATGGGCCCCAGCCAGCATCTCTTTATTGGAATAGAATAGAATGGATGGGAAGTATGGGAATGCAACACGCCGGGTGGGGGGAGCGTTGTTTTATGAAACCTCTGCGTCTGTGTGTGCGCATGTGCACATGGGAACTCTGGCGCATGCAGTCAGTGGATTTCTTACTGGATCAAATAAGGGTGAGAGACACTGGAAAGTGGGAATTCTGTAATTCGGGACATTTGCTGATGTGGACTCAAATACCAAGGCATCCGGCTGAATAGCAGTTACAACAACAATAGCTCCCATGTAACCAGCTGTCACTCTGACACAGTCATTGAAGCTTCACAACCATCCTATGGGGCTAGGATCCTTATGAGCCCCATTTTACAGATGAGGAAACTGAGGCTCAGAGAGGGGAATGATTGCCCCCCCCAGGATCAGCTAAGAAGTGGCCAATCAGGAGCTCACACGCTGGACCACTCCTTGGGCCATGCTGCCTCCCATCACCATGACAACGTGCACCTCCCGCCATCCCCTTTGCTGCATTCGGGGTGTGCTGGCTGTCACTAGGAGCCGAGGTCTCACAAGGAGAAGGCAGGGGGAGCCTCCCGAGACGAGCGTTGCTAAGGTAAAGAGGAGGGTCCCAGCGACACCATCCAATCCACAGCAAAACGCATCGCACTGAGTCATCCTCTAGACCCCCTGACACAAGCCCAGATCCGATGATAAGCCCCTCATAATACTTTCTTACTGGGATGCCCCATGGTTCCCCGCTGTGTGTGCAAACAGATGACAAACTCGACCTGGCTTGACCGTGAGGGATTTCTGGTGGCCTTTGGCATTGACATCGGTGAAATGGGAGCTTTATTGGAGCCAGGCGTGGTGTTGCCTAGCAGCATCTGTGTCCCTGCTTCTGGTGAGGGTGTCCCTCCCTCCTCTTCCTCAGTCTGTGTCTTTGGAGCAGGCTGACCCCACTCCTGGCCCTGACGTGGGCATGTCACATAGATGTGGCCAATTATATCACTGCATGCCCTGGGGCCACCATGATTGGCTAAGCAATGGGGATGGAGCCCACAGTGAGCCAGTGCAAGCTTCCCTTGGACCTTTGTGAGAACTACTGGGAGAAAGTGACCTATCTCCTGCTAGAATAGAAACATGGGGCTGAATGATCCCTGGTTTACACCACAAGGGGAGGGACTGCCTGATAGTGACCCCAACACTGAGACTAGAGATGGAGAGAGCCATCCCTGGATCCTTGAACCATCCCTGGATCCAGCCACGCCTGAAGTCAAACCGTTCAAAACGTTTTAGTTGCATAAGCCAATACATTCCCCTTTTCTCCTTAAGCCAATTCAATTGAGTTTCTATCACTTGCCGTGAACAGGCCCTGACTATATGTCACTTTACACAGGTTTTTTAATGATATTCACCGCGATTGGGCTGTGAAGAGCTTGGCTCATACCGAGTACTCAATAAAGGGGAACTATTATGCAGAATCTCAAAGCAGAAAGATGGCAAGTGGTCCAACCTGCCACTCAGGGCACCAGTGCCCCCAAGATTTCCCTAGTAGAGCGTGCCCCTAGGCTCTGCTTGGATGCCTCCAGGGATGGGGAGCTCACCCCTCCTTCTGTTTCTCAGCAGTTATTCTTGCCTCTGTTAGCACCAGCCCTGAGAGTCCACACCCCCAGCCTCAGCCCCGAGACTCACCCTGCAGCTGGGAGAAACGCAAAGCAGCGGCGTTGAGCGCCTGCACCCGCTCGCTCTGGGCCGCGATGTCCCCCTCCAGCAGCCCATGCTTCTGCAACAGGTCCTCTGCCTCCACCAGGTGCTGCCCGCACTCCCGGGACAGCAGCTGGGCCTGCAATGGGGTGGCACTGAGCACAGCACTGGCACTGCTGGCATCTGAGCCACTCGCCTCTCCCCCGTCACCTGGCCAGCCCTGCTGCTCCTCCCCCTCGCCCCGAGCTCTGACCCGTCCCAGCCCCAGTCTCCATCATTCTCTCCTGCCTCTATCTCTCTTTCTCTCTCTCAAACTGTCACTCTAGCTTAATCTCTCTGTCTCTGTCCCTGGCTCTCTTTGTCTCTATATCTCTGTGTCTTTTTCCTCTCTCCTTACCTGTCTCCCTTTCTTTCTCACTCTTTCTTTTTCTGCCTCTCTTGTTTATCTGTGTATCTTTCTCTCACTCTCTCTCTTGCTTTCTCTATCTCCCTGCCTTTCTCTTTAGCTCTTTCATTCCTTCCCCTTCCATTTCCATCTCCACATCTCTGTCAACTCCTTCGTGTCTGCGTCCTCCCCTCCCTCATGGCACCCCACCCCACCCCCGGCCCCGCTCCGGCCCCCACCTGCATCTCCTCCATCCAGTCCACCATGTACACCATCTCCTGGAAGACCTTCTGCAGGGCCAGGTTCTGCTCGAGCCGCGTCCGCCGAGCACCCACCAGCCCCGTCAGCAGGGCCCACTGGCGCAGGACACTGTCACGCTGGGCCGCCACCCGCCGGGCATCATAGTAGCCTTCAGTCGCCAATGCCTGGGCCAGCTCCGCGACACCCTGCACCCGTTCCTCGTAGGCTGCGATGTCCGCCTCAATCGCTTCGTGTTTCTTCATGGCCGCCTCCACTGCCGGCAGCTCATACCCAAAGTTGTCCTGGGGCAGGGCAGGCCAGACACTCAGCCATGCTGCTTCAGCAGTCCACCTGTTACCCTGACCCTGTGTGACCCTGAAACTCCCCCCCTCATTACCCTGGAGACTGGCCCTGCCCTTCCCAGTTACCCTAGAGACCACCATCCCCTGTTACCCTGGAGACCAGTCCCATCCTCACTAGTTACCCTGGAGACCAACTTCATCCTCCTCTGTTACCCTGGAAACCAGTCCCACCTTCACGTTACCCTGGAGACCAACTTCATCCTCCTCTGTTACCCTGGAAACCAGTCCCACCCTCACGTTACCCTGGAGACCAGCCCCACTCACTCCTGTTACTCTGGAGACCAGCCCATCTTCCCTGTTACCCTGGAGACCAGTTCATCCCTCCTCTGTTACTCTGGAGACCAACCCACCAGCCCCACCCTCTCCAGTTACCCTGGAAACCTCCCATTACATATCTAACCCCAAACTTGTTACACAGGAAACAGGCCTTATCCTTCCATTGTCCTGGAGACTAGGGACCAGGTACGTCCTATTCTGTTACTTAGGAGACCAATTCTATTCTCCTGAGTTACCCTGGATACCAGATACAACCTCCCTTGTCACTTAAAGTCTAGTTGAACACTCCCCCTGTTCCTGAAGAGACTAAATATGCCCTGGAGAATTTCTAGTTACCCTGGAGACCAGCCTCACTCTCCCATTACCCTGGAAATCAGGCCCACTCCCCTCACCCACTGATCACTTAGGAGACCAATTTTCCACTCTCATTTGTCACCCAGGAGACTAATCCAACCCTTTTCTGTTGCTTAGGAGATCCAGTCTCCCTCTCTAGTGCCAGGGCCATCAGCCCCATCCTCCCTCCCTTTCCCCCGGAGCCAAGCCCTACACCTCGTACCTGGGAGACCAGGCGCTGGTTCTCATTCAGCCAGCTCTCCCTCATAGCCACCTTGTGGTCAAACCTCTGGGCCAGTAGTTCCAGTTTCTCTTGCCGGATCAGCTCAGCCCGTAGGGCGGCCTCCCGCTCATGCTCTGCCTTCTCCAGCTGGCCCCACGCCTGGGGGAGACAGGAGGAGGCAGTCAGACTCCAACAATTCCCCACAGTTTAGTGGCCATGACTTCTCTGTCTGAGGCCACTCATAGCATTTGTGGCACCTTTATGCAAATTGGGGGAAAATGTTACATCCTTATGACACTCTACCGCTGGAAAACTGTCAAAACAGAATATCCAGTCCATGATGTCTACAATGTGAATGTCTTCCTTGAGCAGTGCACAGCTCATATAACTTCACAGAGCAACCCTACCTCTCCCCCACATCCCCAGGTTTACCTTGTCAATATCCCAGATGCCACAGCCCTCTCGAGGCACAAAGAGGCGACGGTTGCAGGCACGGAGTTTGCTTTGGATGCTGAAAAGCAGCACCTCCAGGTTCCCCTTCTCCTGAAACCTGAAGGAGCATGAGCTCAGGAGCCCTGCACCCATGCCTCCACCTGCCACCCTCCCTCCAGAGCTGGGCCTCACTTGACGGGCTTCTCCAGTGTGCAGTAGGCCGTGAAAGCCTGAAGCTGCTGCTGCACCCCACTTAACGAGTTGGCAAACTTCTGGTTGCTGATGAGGCCCACGGTGCGGTGGATCCAGGCCAGCAGCTCAGCCGCCAGCTCCTCATAGCGCTCTATGATCTTCCCCACCTCCAAGACCTGGTCCAGGACCTGAGCAGACAAAGGAAGGCGGGGTCAGCCTCACCCCACGTTTACCTGCAGGTGGTCCCCCGGCTCCCACCCACCCCAGTCCTTGGCTCCTCTTACCTTTCCAATGCGCTTCCCCTCCACAGCCAGAGCCTTCATCTTGGAGAAATAGTGGTAGAAAGAGACCACGTAGGTGATGATGGACTTCTCATCTGGAGCCTCCATGTTCACATCTGGGGGCAAAAGAGGAGTGGGGGAGCATGACTCAAGGGAGGTAGAACCCACTCTTACTAGCTATGTGAACTTGGGCAAGGTAATCAACCTCTCTGTCCCTCAGGTTTTGTATGTGCCGAATGGGGATCTAGCTCATGGCATGAAATAATGCCTGACACATAAACCACAATAGGGAAATTATCTTCTATCATTTGTGTTTTTTTTTAAGACAGGGTCTCCCTCTGTTGCCCAGGCTGGAGTGCAGTGGGATCATCATAGCTCACTGCAACCTCAAACTCCAGGGTTCAAGGGACCCTTCTGCCTCAGCTTCCTAAGCAACTGGGACTACAGGCACATGCCACCACTCCTGGCTAATTTTTAAATTTTTTATAGACACGGGGTCTCACTTTGTTACCTAGGCTGGTCTTAGAACTCCTGGTCTCAAGTGATCCTCTTGCCTCGCCCTCCCAAAGTGCTAGGATTACAGGTGTGAGCCACTGTGCCTGGCCTATAAGCATTTCTTGAGCACACCATTCTACCTTCCACCTCAGGGCCTTTGCACATGCTGTTCTCACTATCTGAAACACTGTTCCCTCTCCCATATGCCTAACTCCCACTCATCCTGCAGGGTTCAACTCAAATTTCTTCAGACAGGCTTCCATGTTCACTCTGTCTAGAGTTGGTTTCCTCATGTTTTTTTTTTTCTCTTAGTATCTTATTATCAATACTTCCTTCCCAGAACATATCATACTTTATAATTAAATATTCACTAATGTGAGTATGTCATTATCTAGAGTTTGAGTTCCATGAAGACAAGGACTCTGCCTGTCTTTTTTTTTTTTTTTTACCATTGTTCCTGCCATTCCCAGAATTACAGTAGGAGACCACTAAAAATTTAATAAGCTTGCAAGTGGTATATGAGGTTTGAGGTCAAGAACATGGGCTTTGGAGGCAGTGTGTACTTGAATCCCAGCTCAACCACCTCCTTGCTGTATGTCATTAGAAGATGGACCTAACTTCCCTGAGCCTCAGTTTCCCCATTGTTATAGTAAGGATAATCATGGTTCTGGCCTCCTACAAACACTGGTAAGTATTAGAAAGAATAGCTGGGCACAGAGTATGCACTCAACAAATTCTGACATCACTTTAACTTACCCATTGAAGGCATAACATTGTCCTTTGTCCTTATACCTTACTACCTCATGAAATTCACATCCATTAACACCTACTAAGTGCTAGGCACCGAGCACAGAGTGTGGCTGCAAGAGGCAGGTAGAGGACTGATGGAGACCGTGAATTACTGGTTTCCACTGTAAGGGGCAAAGTGGCTTCACATCCCTGAGCCTTCATCCCCACCACTGAAAATAGGGTTGGTAAGTTCTACCCAACCAGGCCAGTGTGAAGGTGAATGTGAACAGTTCCGATAAAGTTCCTGGCCATGTGCTTGGCATGTAGCAGAGGCTCAGAGGATGAGAGCAATTTTTATTCCAGGGGTAAGATGTTGGCATTGGGAGTACTCATGGATTGGGGATGAGGTTGAAGTCAGGGATGGGGTTGGGGATACGCCGAAAATGAAGGAGTTGAGATGAGGATAGAGCTGTGGAGAGGGGTGGATATGGGGATGGGCTGGGGTAGGACTGAGGCTGGAAACAGGATTATAGATGGGATAGGAATGGGGCTGGCACTGAAGATAGGGCCAGGGTTAGGGGTGGGAGATGGCATTGGGGTTGGGGCTGGGGAGAAAGGGGGTCAGGTCTGGGGGAGATGGTTGAAGATGGGGTTAGCTAGGGAGTTGGGGGTGGGGAGGAAGCAGGGGTGGGGAAGAGGGTGGGGTTCTGTTGGGCTGGGAATGGGGGTGGAGATGAGGTTGGGGTGGGGATGGAGAGAGGATGAGATGTGGGGAAACGAAGGGGAAGGGGTTGGACATGAGGAAAGGCAGGAAGTTGGGGAGGGAGCTGGGATTGGGAATGACCTTGGGATTGGGGATGGCACTAGGGTAGGTTGGGGTTGAGTCTGAGACGGCATTGGGGTTAGGCATACCCCAAGAGGAAGTCTGGGCAGGGCCATGCAGGGCTCACCTTCAGGGTCCAGCAGACGCGCCAGCCCCAGGTGCTGTTCAGCTGTGCGGAAGGCTCTCTGCAGGTTGTAGTTGGCGTTGGATTTGGTGAGTTTGCTGAAGTCCACGAGATCAGGCCTGGGCAGGGGCACAGAGCGGGCAGGCAGCAGGCGGGCTCCAGGGCAGGTGGGCAAGCAGGTGAAAAGGCACATCCTCGTCTGAGCCCACCCAGGGCGAGGGGCGGGGGCACAACCCAGCCAAGGGGCAAGCCGTGTGTGCTGGTGTGTGCCTCGCAGTATTTACCTGTGGGTGCGTGTCACCGACTCGCACGTGTATCTGTGAGTTCCTGGGAACGTGAGTGTGTGTGCATTTGCCACAGGGCACGTGTAAGCCAGCCTGTGTGCTCACACCTATGGGTGGGGCAGCCTGTGGGTGCTGGGACAAGATGAGCCACACGGTGCCTGCCTGTGTGTGTCACTGTGGAACTATCTGACACCATGAGTGTGTACAGCCTTTATGTGTGTTGTGTGAGCACACGTGTACATCTGGTGCACACGTGCCTACCTGGGGGATTTACACAGTGTCATGTAGCAGTGAGAGGTGTGAGGTCTGGAGCTAGCCCCTCGGGGTCCAAGCCCCAGGTGGTCACATCCTGGTTATGTGGCTCTGGGTGAGCTACCTCATTTCTCTGTGCCTTAGTTTCCTCATTTGTAAAATGGGGAAAATAATACCATGTGCCTAATATGTAAGAGACGGATTGAATATATTGAATAGACACATCGAATATTAAATGACTTCATAGGGACCACTTAGAACAATGCCTTGTACAGAGACAGCACTTAGTAAACGTTACCTAAATTGTTAGCATGGCGCTGGTTACAGCTTGTGAGTTTCTGTTTGTGGGGGTGCCTCTGGGTCTCCCCGTGTGTGTACGAGTGTGTGTATGCGTGAGAGGCAGGGCTTGTGAGTGACATGTGTCCACAGCAGTAAAAGCTGGGTTCTGGCTTCTCTATGCCACAGCAATTCCCTCCTAGCCCCTGAGCCTCAGTTTCCCCAATCTGTCTTGTGCACGATCATGACGTGGGTATAATTTGTATGGGTGCCTGACTCTCAGCTAGTTCAGCACCAGCCCCTGAGGTACAAAGAGGTGAGTGGGCTGGGAGCCAGGAAGGGGGGCTCTGGGGCTCCCCTCTGATCGGAGGTGCTTTGTACACCCCAAAAGGGAGAGTGGACCCCCCGCCCTGAGGGAATCTAAGCAGCAGGTGCAGGCTGTGTGTTCCTGCATGTAAATGCACAGGGCACGTGTGTGAAGGGAAATAAATGTGTATTTGTCTGTAGGGTGAAAAGATGGGTCCTCGTGTCCCTTTCTGTCATCTATACGCATACACGTACAGGTGTATAGCTGTGGGGACATGGGGTGGGGTGCAGGGCTGGGCTGGGCTGCCCCAGGCCAGGTGGTACCTGTGCCGGTGAATGAGGGCATTGAAGGCCAAGCCATCCCGCCAGCTGGTGGTGAAATTCTGAATGTTTACCTCGGGGTAACTGGCAGTGTAGAGGGGGAAACAAAGGCAGAGATGGAGAAAGGACGGAAGAGGGAGGGAGGGGAGAGAGGGGAGGAGGGCAAGAGAAGGACACAAAAGGATGGGTGGACAGGTAGGTAGGTAGGTAGATAATATAGATAAGATAAGATAGGGGAAGGCAGAGAGACAGAGGGAGCCAGGGAGGTGGAGAAAGAGAGAGAGAGACAGGAGAGGAGAAAAAGAGAGGTAGAGGGAAGAGGGAAAAGAAGGAGAAAGGGAGGAGGGAGAGAGACATAGACAGACATGGAGAGAGAAAGGAGGGGAGAGAAAGGGGAAAGAGGGAAGGAAGGAGGGAGGTGGACAGAAGGAGAGAGAGGTACCAGGAAAAGCAGACATGGCAATAAAGACAGACACAAGGAGAGACAGATGGCATTGCAAGACACACAGACAGCCCAGAAGGATGAGAGTCAGAGAAACTCACCTCCCTCCCAAACCTGCCGCCTCCCTCCTTCCTCCCAGGGCTACTTGAGTCTCAGGCCTTGCCCCCCTGCAGGGCAGAATTGGGGGTCCCAGGGGACATGCCCAATACAGCCTGTGCCTGGCCCCACTATCTCAACCACACTGAGGGTACCCAGGACCCTGACCTTTCCTGCCCAAGCTGCCAGAGCCTTGGTGTGTGCCCTCCCAGGCAGAGGGGTGACACTCACAGGGCAGGGGGGGCCAGAGCTTGGACATGGGGCTGGGGATCAGCTGCCTATGAGGTCTCAGGAGGTGCAGGGGAAATGGGGTGGGAAGCGGCGAGAAGGGAGCAGGCTGGGGACAGGCTGCCCCCTTCCAGCATTGATCTCTGAGCAGTCCGAGGGTTCTAAATCTGAACTTGGCCTTCCAGCTTGTTAGGAAGGGTTGTCAAGGTCAGGGAAGTGGACATATTTTATTTACCAGTTTCTTGGCTTCGGATGTTACTTTTGACACTGAGGACATGTGTTGCTCCTTAAGCTCTTGTCTCGGAAGGAAACCCGAAAGTAAGTTAGGGGTCCCCCTGCCTGTGAGGAGGGCGTGGGGCTTACCCAGCTGTCTTCATCTGACACCATAAGAGCAGAGCGTCCTTGGCTGAGCGCGTCTCTCTGTTGTCCTCGGTCTCAATTTTGATGACTTGAATCTGTGAAGATACAAAAAAATGCTTCTGGGGCCTGGAGAGCTTGAGGCCAGGGGACCCTCCCCTCCCCATCCTGCCACCAGGGGGCATGACAGGTGACATAAGAGATGGGAGAGGCAGCTTCGGGCTGGGGGTGGGGGTCCAGGAGCGTGAGGCTGAGCTCTGGAGTGGGCCAGGACATCCACAACCGGGGAGGCGGTGGTTGTGGATTCAGGTCTCAGTTTCCAGGGAAGCCACCAAACTGAGAGTCCAGGCCAGTTTCCCGATGCAAGCCACCGTCACCTCCCGCCTAGGCTGGAGCAGCAGCCTTCGTGCTGATCTCCCTGTTAGTGCGCCCACAGGGTGGTGGAGACTTGGGTCCCGGACTCAAGAACTGGGCTTGGCATGTGGGTTCCCAGGGACAGAACCAAGATCTCCAAGGTGGCCTCAGCCCCTTCTGCAGGGCTCCAGCCCCCAGCGGAGATCCCTGACTCCCAAGGTCTCATTCCCTGATTTTATACCGACAACATCCACACCTGTCTCCAGCTTTCCTTGTCCCCTGAGCTCCATCCCCAGGATCCAGTGGACTCCTGGATGCCCCACCCCCACCCCAATGTCCTGGACCCATAACCACTGCATCTCGAGCTGGCCTTAGTATCTTCCCCAAACTCCTCCCTGTCCCTGTGTCAGGACGGCCCCACCGTCCCCCAGTCCCCAGGCCAGAGCTCTGAGTCTCCGCCTGGATACCCCTTCCCCTAAGGCCTGTCCACGCCATCTCCTGTCCACACCACCTCCTGAGTGTCTTCCCTACCTGCCCCCTATTCACTTCCCTACAGTCCCACCCTCGGCCACATCTCTAGCCTCCTCCTTAGGCTCTCGGCTCCCAAGTTTGCTAACCACCTCCAATCCAGAGGGATCTTGCTAAACCTGATGATACACCTTCTCTTGACAAAACTTTCCAATCTTCCCTCATCTCAGGCAGAATAAAATCCAAACTGCTCATCACAGATCACCTGGGCCCTACCAGCCTCTCTGCCTCATCTCCTCCTTGTCTGCCCCTTGCCTCCGTCTTCTAGCCACACTGCTCTTCCTTCTGAACTCCCAACATGCCAAGCTCAGACCTACCACAGGGCCTTTGCACCTGCTGTGCTCCCTGCCTGGAATGCTTTCTCCCTTCATATTCATACGTTGTTCAGCCATCAGCTTCTCAGAGAGCCCTTTTCTGACCATCATATCTAAAATCTCAACAGCACCAACCTGATATTTTATATCTCTTTTACTGCTATCATACTCTATTCTTTTATGCATAGCTTTTTTTGTTTTGTTTTTTTTGAGACAGAGTCTCACTCTGTTGCCCAGGCTAGAGTGAGTGCCATGGCATCAGCCTAGCTCACAGCAACCTCAATCTCCTGGCTTCAAGCAATCCTGCTGCCTCAGCCTCCCGAGTAGCTGGGACTACAGGCACGCGCCACCATGCCCGGCTAATTTTTTCTCTATATATTTTTAGTTGGTCAATTAATTTCTTTCTATTTTTAGTAAAGACGGGGTCTCACTCAGGCTGGTTTCGAACTCCTGACCTCGAGCAATCCGCCCACCTCGTCCTCCTAGAGAGCTAGGATTACAGGCGTGAGCCACCGTGCCTGGCCATTACATACCATTTATTACCCCGGCCTCCACTGGGAGGCCGAGGCCAGCGGATTGCTAGAGGTCAGGAGTTCGAAACCAGCCTGAGCAAGAGCGAGACCCCATGTCTACTATAAATAGAAAGAAATTAATTGGCCAGCTAATATATATAGAAAAAATTAGATGAGCATGGTGGTGCATGCCTGTAGTCCCAGCTACTCAGGAGGCTGAGGCAGGAGGATCGCTTGAGCCCAGGAGTTTGAGGTTGCTGTGAGCTAGGCTGACACCAGGGCACTCACTCTAGCCTGGGCAACACAGTGAGACTCTGTCTCAAAAAAAAAAAAATAGTATGTAACTTACAGAGTTGCTGTGTGTATTAAATGTCAAGTACTTGGAACAGAGTAAACAATATGTAAATGATGATTATAGGGATGGTGATGATAATGACAATTATTTTTATCATTATTTTTATCCTCACGACCTGATACAGGGTTCCTGGAGCATACTGGGGATATTTTTGGAAGGCATGAAGGAAGAAATGGGTAAATGGTGGGGGGCGCCTTCCCGAGGCCCGCCGTCTGGGATCACCTGGAAGCGCAGGATTATGGTCCAGACCAGCCCCAGCGTCAGCCGGTGGTTTCCATCCACGATGTCATGCGACCCCACGTTCTCCAGGTGCACGCGCTGCTCCTTCAGGAACTGCAGCGCCTTGTCCACGTTCTCCAGCGAGTGGATGCGCATGCGGCCGCGCGTGGGCCTTGGCTAGGGTGGCAGGGGGAGGGCGAGGGGGTCTGGCCAAGGAAGCCCGCCCCTCCCATAGCCACGCCCCCTGCGTGTCCAGGACCTGTCTGCCCTCCCTCGGTTTTATCCAAGACCCAGGACCCTGAGTCACATCATTTCGTGGCTGATTGAGGTCCCTGGCTCCGCCCCGTCCACCCACGTGCCACCCCCGCCTTGGTAACCACGCCCCCAACATGAAGCCCCGCCCCTGATACCTGTAGCTACATCCTGCCCCTTCCCCAGCCCGGGGCTCTTCCCCCTGGTTTTAGGCTCGATTCCTTGCAGGGGCGTTTCTTCCCATTCGATCGCCCTGCCCCCTGAGCTGCAGGCTCCAGGCCTGTAATGAATCTCCACCTTGAATCCCTCGATTTGAGATGAAGCCCCATCCAAGCCCAGAAACACAACCCCACCCATGCAACAAGCCACCCCTCCACAACACTGCGTCCCCAGACCCCCGCGACATAGGTCTCACCCTACCAACGACACTGCCCCCCACTGCCCGCCACAAGAGCTCTGCCCCAGTTTCGTAGCCGTGCCCTTTACCAGGTCGTAACCCAGACCGGACCTTCTAGCAAGCTCGTCCCTTCTCCGGTAGCCCCGCCCCTTCCAACGAAGCTCCGCCTCCGAACCCAGCCAGCCTGTTCGACCGAATCCCGCTTTGGTTCCCAGCCGAGCCCCCACCCCCGACCATTAGCCAGGCCCCCGTCTAGTCCAGCCCTTCCAGAGAAGCCCACCCCCCAGCCGCAGACCCCAGGGCCGCCCCCTGTCCCCAGCCCCGCCGGCCCCTCACCAGCTGCTCCCCCGACAGCACTTCCAGCAGCCGCGTGAGCACGAAGCCGTCCCGGAGGTCCGCGTAGAGGTCCGCGATGTGGCAGCCCACGCGGGCCAGGTGCGAGTTCACCCACTTGGTGAAGGTTTTCTTCTGCACAGCCTCGCGCTCATCTGCAGGACAGGCCCTCGTGAGCCCCCGGCCGCCCGCGCAGGAACCCCCGGCCCCTTCCAGCTGCGCTTCGCCCCTCCGCCACCAACCCCGGCTGGGCCCAGCTCTCTTCAAGAGTCCCACCTTGGTACAGGCGCCTCCTCCTACCTGGAGCGCCTGCCCCTGCCCTCCTGCCCACTGGTGACAACCTCCTGCCCTTTATCGTCTTCCTGAGAGATCACTGTTTTCCTGAGAGATCACTTCCACGGGAAGCCGTCCCTGCTTCCTATCTCGGTGGGCTGTGTTCATGCATTCTGTAACTCCGTGTCTGGACTCTGCAGATACAGACAGGGCCTCCCTCCCAGAGCTCAGTTTGGTGGGGGCACGGGTAATACCCCAGGGAACCCCGGGGCTGGGGCGTGGGGAGTTTAAGGAGGAGGAGTGACAGGAGGAAAGTTGTGTCTCAGGAGTTTCTCTGGCTGCTGTGCGAAGAGTGGATCAGAGAGGGCAAAAATGGAGCCTCGAACCTAAGGAGGAGCTTGGAGAAGGGGCTCAGGGGAGAAAGGATGAGGCCCAGCCAGGGCAGAAGCTGCGGGGTTCGGAGAAGGGGACATATTGCAGAGTCATTTAAGAGGCTGGGCACAGTGGCTCAGGCCTGTAATCCTAGCCCTTTGGGAGGCTGAGGTGGGAGGATGGCTTGAGGCCAGGAGTTCAAGACCAGCCTGAGTAAGAGTGAGACCCCATCTCTACAAAATACAGAAAATTCAGCTGGATGTGGTGGTGCATGCCTGTAGTCCCAGCTACTCAGGAGGCTGAGGCAGGAAGATTGCTTGAGCTCAGGAGTTTGAGGTTTACAGTGAGCTATGATGATGCCATTGCACTCTAGCCCAGGCAATAGAGTGAGACCCTGTCTCAAAAAAAAAAAAAAATGTAAATTCAATGGTTTTTAGTATATTCACAGACTTGTGCGACCATCACCAGTATCTAACATCAGAACACTTTCAACCCCAAAAAGAAACCCGGTGCCCATGAGCAGTCATTCTCCACTTTTCCCTTCCCTGAACTCTATGCAAACACTGAGCTACTTTCTTTCTCTATGGATTTTGCCTATTGTGGACATTTCACATAAAAAGAGTCATAGAATATGTGGTCTTTTATGTCTCTGGCTCCTTTCACTTAGCTTAATATTTTTAAGAGTCATCTATGTTGTAGCAGGTATCAATATTTTGTTTCTTTTAATGGCCAGCTAATATTCCATTGTGTGGATATACTGCATTTTGCTTAACCATTCATCAGTTGATGAATATTTGGGTTGTTTCCACTTCTTAGTTATGGTGAATAATGCTGCTATGCACGATGGGAAAAAGTTTTTGTGTAGACATGTGTTATCTTGGGTATACACCTAGGAGTAGAATTCCTGGGTCATATAGTAACTTTATGTTTAACTTTTTAAGGAAATGTCTGTTTTCAAAGTAGCTATACCATGTTACATTCCCACCAGCAATGTATGAGGACTCCAATCCCACATCCTTGTCAATACTTGTTATTTTCCCCTTTTTTAAATTTATTTTCTGTTTTTAAGAGATGGGGTCTCAAAAAAAAAGAGGTGAGAGTCTTGCTATGTTGCCCAGGCTGGTCTCAAACTCCTGGCCTTAAGTGATCCTCCCACCTCAGCCTCTGAGTAGCTGGGATTACAGGTGCAAGCTACTGCACCTGGTTGCTTTTATTATCATTATTATTATTATTATTATTATTATTATTATGGCCATCCTAGTGGGTGTGAAGTGGTATTTCATTTTGGTTTTGATTTGCATTTCTCTAATGACTAATGATGTTGAACATCTTTTCATGTTCCCCTCCCCTTTTTTTTAAGAGACAGGGTCTCAATCTGCCACCCAGGCTGGAGTATAGTGGCACGATCATAGCTCACTGCAGCCACCAACTCCTGGGCTCAAACAATCCTCCTGCCTCAGCCTCTTGAGTAGCTGGGACTATAGGCGTGCACCACCATGCCTAGCTAATATTTTTAGACATATTTTAATAGACAGGGTTTTGCTATTTTGCTCAGGCTGGTCTCAAACTCCTGGCCTCAAGTGATCTTCCCACCTCAGCCTCCTGAGTTGCTGGGATTACAGGTGTGAGCCACCATACCCAACTTTGAAAAACATGAAAATGTTCTTATTGGCATTTGTATATCTTCTTTGGAGAAATGTCTATTTAAATGGTTTGCCCCCCCCCCCCTTTTTGAGACAAGGTCTCATTCTGTCGCCCTGGGCTAGAGTGCAATGCTATCATCATAGCTCACTATAGCCTCAAATTCCTGGGCTCAAGCAATCCTTCTGCATCAACCTCCCAAGTAGCTGGGACTACAAGTGCACTCCACCAAGCCTGGCTAATTTTTTCTATTTTTGGTAGAGACAGAGTCTCACTATTCCTCAGGCTGGTTTTGAACTCCTGACCTCAAGCAATCGTCCCACCTCAGCCTCCCAGAGTGCTAGGATTACAGGCATGAACCACTGCACCCGGCCCTCCTTTGCCCATTTTTTTTTTTATTCTTTGCTCATTTTTAAATAGGGTTACTTGTCTTTTTATCATCTGTACTATCTTTGAAACTTCCTGTGAATCTATAATTATTTAATAATTAAAAGTTTAAAAAAAAGGCAATTGCTTCCTGGTCTTTCTCTTTCCTTTCCTGGCCCCCATAAGCTGGAACAGCAAGGTCTACAGAATACAGGATGGAAGGAACCTGGAATCCACATTGACTGCTTGGAGCTGAGTCACCTGCCAACTGGGCTGCTCATTTGGGACTATCCAGGAGAGAGAATAAGCTTTTATTTCCTTTAAACCAAGTATCATTCAGTCTTTTTTGTTAACAGCAGCTTAGCCTGGACAATTACTGTTTGGATTTCATCACAATTTTTTTTTTTTTTGAGACAGAGTCTCCCTTTGTTGCCCAGGCTAGAGTGAGTGCCGTGGCATCAGCCTAGCTCATAGCAACCTCAAACTCCTGGGCTCAAGCGATCCTCCTGCCTCAGCCTCCTGAGTAGCTGGGACTACAGGCATGCACCACCATGCCTGGCTAATTTTTTCTATATATATTAGTTGGCCAATTAATTTCTTTCTATTTATAGTAGAGATGGGGGTCTTGCTCTTGCTCAGGCTGGTTTCGAACTCCTGACCTCGAGCAATCTGCCCTCCTCGGCCTCCCAGAGTGCTAGGATTACAGGCATGAGCCACCGCGCCCAGCCCATCACAAAATTTTTAAGTTTCCTATTAATGCAGGAATAAAGACGTGTATTTCTAGCCTATTTCCCCTTTCAACCATTGGAAATCTCTCAGTAATTTCCTTTTTCATAAAATTTACCTTTTGTAACATTATTGTTACATTATTGCATTTTACTCTGGCAGAATACACATTGATTGCTCTGTATATTTTTGACTTTTTTGTATTCAAGTTGCATCTTGAATGTTTACCTCTAATTTGAAAGCAAATCTGCAGATATTAGCAGCACATCCAAATGAAATATCTTGTTTGTTTAAATGTGAGTTTGTGCCGTTTAGACTGGTTGGGGGCCTGTGTGAACATGATCATCAATCCCACGTGGGGAAGTGATGACAGGAAAGACGTTGAATCGGTATTTGTTCCTCTGCCCTCTAATGGCCAAAGCCCGTGCCAAATAGCAGATTTTGGCTAATACTAAAGCCAAAGTGGAACACTAGTACATGCCCAGATTGGTACCAGAATGAGGACAGTTGGATTCTGTCCTTCTTGTAATGACGACTGGCCATGTGACTTCTCGACGTCATCTCCCTTCTCCAGGCCCCCATTTTCCCATTTGTTAAAAAAGGGGCTTTGAGCTAAGCTGATGCCACTGGCACTCTAGCCCAGGTAACAGAGTGAGACTCTCTCACAAAAAAAAAAAAAAAAAAGACTAAAATTGGCTTTCCTGAATAAACCAGTAACTGCTAAATAAAAAAAAAAAAAAAAAAAAAAAGGTGGGTGGGGCTTGGACTAGATCAGGGTTTCTTCAGTGGGTTCTTGGAGACCTCTGGTGTTTGAGATCTCATGCTTGAGGGAGAGGAATCCATGACAATATTTTTTGTTTTGTACTTTCACTTTGATTATGCCCAAAGAAAATCAATAGAAACATATCCTAGGCCGGGCGCTTCGGCTCACTCTCTGGGAGGCCGAGGCAGGTGGATTGCTCAAGCTCAGGAGTTCAAAACCAGCCTGAGCAAGAGTGAGACCCCATCTCTACTATAAATAGAAAGAAATTAAGTGGACTAATATACACAGAAAAAAATTAACCGGGCATGGTGGCGCATGCCTGTAGTCCCAGCTGCTCGGGAGGCTGAGGCAGGAGGATTGCTTGAGCCCAAGAATTTGAGGTTGCTGTGAGCTAGGCTGATGCCACGGCACTCACTCTAGCCTGGGCAACAGAGTAAGACTCTGTCTCAAAAAAAAAGAAACATATCCCAGTCCATCTCGATGACAACTTCATACAGGATGATGCCATGAGATTTTGGTATTTGTGATTACAATATTGGTAGCATGGAGCCGGGATCTAGAACTGAAATGCTGGCTGGGTACAGTGGCTCATGCCTGTAACCCTAGCACTCTGTGAGGCCAAGGAAATTGCTGGAAATTTGCTTAAGGTCAGGAGTTCAAGACCAGCCTGAGCAAGAGCAAGACCCTGTCTCTACAAAAAAATAGAGAAATTAGCCAGGCGTGGTGGCACATGCCTGGAGTCAGAGCTACTTTGGAGGCTGAGGCTGGAGGATCACTTAAGCCCAGGAGTTTGAGGTTGCAGTGAGCTATGGTGATGTCACTGCACTCTAGCTGGAGCAATAGAACAAGACTCTGTCTCAAAAAAAAAAAAAAAAGGAATTGAAATGCCCACAGAGTCCAGACAGGCTGTACACAGTGAAGAACTAGGACCTTCTACAAGGGGGCTGTGGCCACAGGGCCTTGTGACTGTAGCCTGACGGATGGAGGCCAGCATGCCCGATATATGTATAGTCA